GGAAAAGAGGCCTGTGGACAGGTTTAGGGAGAGCAGGCAGGTTGCAAAGACAGGAGAGCCAGAGGCAATGTACAGCAAACACCTGTAGCTGAATGCCAGCCATTACTTAAAGATGTATCAGGATAAGAATGACAGGTAGAGACTCAGAGCTTCGGAGACTGTCACCAGTGACCAGATCAGCCAGGATCATCTCCCTAAAATCATCAGAATGAGTTTCCAAGACCCACTCACACTCCTGCAGCTGGCAGTGAAAAGCCTAATAAGGAATGAAACTTTGGCCAACTCTACCCTGCAGGTCCTGCCAAATGATCTCTTTCCCCCACTGCTCAAGGAGGCCAACACTCAGAGAAAAGCAAAGATCCTGGTGGCAGAGTGGCCCCGCCCTCACCTTCCTGTTGGGTTGCTGATGAACAACCCCACCTTAGAGACCCACCAGGCTATGTTGGATGGAGTAGACACATGGCTCACATGAAGGTTTTGCCCCAGAGGGCAGAAGCTTCAAGTGGTTGACTTGAGGAATGTTCCAGTGCAGAGGGGCCATTCTACATCAACACTGAAGCATTGTTTGAAGGTCGTCACTGAACTTCACCTCCCCCAGGATCAATACCAGGCACAGTTGTTGCTGGGGGGGGAAGGGGGGAGAAGAGGAGGCCTTCCTGCAGCTGTGCTGTGTCAAACTGAAGGTTGGGACATTACCATTCCACAGGGTCAAGAAAGTCTTAAAAATTTTACATCCAGGATTCATCGAAGAGTTGGAACTGAATACAGTGGGGAGTTTCTCCACACTGGCAAAGTTTGTACCTACCGTCAGAAAGATGAGGAATCTTCAAAAAAAATGCTGCTAATGTGTGTCTTCCAGGGAAGGACTGCCACTGATGTACAGGAGAAGCATGTCACCATGGCCATTTCTCTCTTTTCAAAACCCAGCTGTCTGCAGCATCTCACCATGCAGGATGTCTACTTCCTAAATGACCACATGAATCAGTTGCTTAGGTGCCTGAAGACCCCCTTGGAGTGCCTGTCCATCTCTCTGTGCAAGTTCTCACAGTCAGACTTGGATTCCTTTGCCCAGTGGAGTCACTCTGGGCTTAAACATCTGAGAGGCATAATTTTAAGTGATTTGGATTTTATTTCTCTCAGGATTTTCTTAGAGAGTGTTGCAGACACTCTGTAGACCCTGAAAATAAAAGACTGTGGGATGAAGGACGCTGACATCAGGGATCTTCTCCCTGCCCTGAGCCAATTCTCCCAGCTCACCACCATCAATCTCATAGACAATGACTTCTCCACGGACACACTGAAAGAACTTCTGCGCCACACTGCCAACCTAAGGCAGCTGACCAAGGAGCTGTACCCTGCTCCTAAAGAGGTCTATGATCAGTTTGGTTATACACAAGTAGAGGAATTTTCCCAACGTTGTGCTGAGCTCAAGGACACACTCATCTCTATAAGGGAGTTCAAGTCACTCCACTTTGGGAGTGTAGCCTGTTATGATTGTGGCAAGCGTTATATCTATGAACTAGAGACCATACTTTGTGAGTGCTCCCTCTAAATGCCTTCTGGGTAATAAGACATGAATGTATAAGACAGGCTTCTCATCCAGAGGACATCAGAACTCGTGGTTTTGGACATTGCTCAGTATGATGGAAACAAAACCATGTGCTGTAGAGACAGAACAAAGACGCTGGCATTGTGGAGCACATTGGTTCAGTCAGGTTGTCTGTCTTGTGGAGAGATAGAGTTCTCCATTTCCAAATGGAGCACCTCTCAGGATTGCCTCTGCAGGACCTTTCTCCAGCATACAAAGTGATGCTGAGATCCTGAGAACCGGATAGTCTCTCTGCTGGGCTTCCCAGTCATTAACCTGCTTCTGAAGATCATGGTCCTTCAAAGTAGCAATGTAGGCAAAGGCAAGGTTTGAGAAAGGCAGTTGTGATAAATGAGTATCAGACTGCAATCCAGGGTACACAGGCTAGGAGGGGCTTTGGTGACATCAAAGATGACCTAAGAAGGACAAAAGGCAAAGGATTAGGGGATGAACAAGCTGACACCAGACTCCTCATCCACTTCCTGCCACTTACACATTAATGGAGTCTGTAACAGACATCAGGAAACCCAGATTGTAGGTCACCTGACTCAGGCACTATACTTCAGGTTTACCAACTCTGGCTGGCTATCTGCACATTAAGACCTCCAGGAGATGAACAAAGGTCCATGTTCTGTCCTAAAGTATTGCCAGTCCCTAGGATCTGCATAAGAAATTCCCAATAATAAATTCCCAGTTGTGCCTCTCTTTATTTTATTTTTGGGTTTTGTATGACAGGGTTTCTCTGAATAGCCTTGGCTGTCCTGAAACTAACTCTATGGTCCAGGCTGCCCTCAACTCACAGAGATCCACCTCGTTAATGAATATCTGAGCAGAGCCATTGGTTTGTTTATATCTGTATAAGCAGGTAGCAATAAAGAATATTGTGTCACACACAAAAAAAAAAGAATGACAGGTAGAACCAATACACATAGAACGGCCCAGAAAAGAAACTGCAGAAGGGCCCTGACTGTGAGAGGAACGGGTTACTGCTGCAGGTTGAGAAGTGAAGGAGAGGCACTGAGGTCTCCTTTGACTTAGTGATACTTCCTGAGAACCAGACAGTGAATATATAAATAAAGAGAATGGGCAGTGGTGGCTTGCAATCAGAATAGACAATAAAGTGAGGGGAATGGCGAAGTGAGTTATTTTGCTTTTGATTTTCAGACAGTAGTGAATCAGTCATGGCAATGGTAGAGAGTGAGAGAGTAAAGATGCTTTCAGAAGGAGTAGTAGGGAAGGACCTGATCTCAGAGGAGACAGAGAGGGATGGGGTGGCAGGTGCATTATCATTATGTGAGAGAGGAGGCCTTTCTTTCAGAAGGAAGGTCGGGACTGACAGCTATGGATTAATCACAGCCAGCAGCACCGTGTCCTCTGAAGCAGGCAGCATGATTGAGTGAGATGTTAGAAGGGCAGCGAATGGTCAAGACAGTAGGAGAACCGAATGTGTAGAGTGGCCACCGAGGGAACTGGGGCTTGAAATAGAATTGTTGAGGCATATAGAAGGCCTAGCAAATTGGACACCATGAATTTATCAAGTCACCAGCCCTATGGGCATCAGGTCTAGGAATATCTATGGTTGGAGCTTTATTTCTTCAGTCACCTGTTTTGCAAGGTGTGAGTAGATGTCAGTGGAGGAAGGAATCAAGGGTGCTGGCAAGATGGACAGATGTGCTAAATGCTACAGATACACAGCGAGACAGGCTTGCACAGAGACAGGTGAGCGGGGATGGCCATCTTGCAGAGGAGCATTGGCTAGGAGGACCATTGTAGTCATCCCAGCTTGTTGGCCTAGGGAGCTTTAAAAACTAAATTAGTCTCCAAGTTCTAGGACATTTCCCCAGAACATGTCTCTCTGGTGGTGGAGTGGGTAGCGTCGCAGGGATGCTTGTTGTGGAGTTTGGTCAGGAATATACAAGCCTATAATTTTCTGTTTGAGATAATTTGATAAGAAGCTTTCATCAGAAAATGACAATGAATGGATTTAAACAGCAGTAAGAAGGACTTGGAGGGGACAGAAACAGAAGTCATACTTGGAGCTTACAGAGTCTGTCCTTGGGGCTTGGGGTGGTCTAGACAGTTCCCAGAAGCCCTCTGAATCCTGTTCCTCTTTATTTGTCTTCACCAGTGGCTCAGACCACACTTTGAGCTAGTGCCAGGTAGATACCTCCTTATTCATCTCTTAAAATGAAGTCCTTGTAGCAGACTATGACGCCATTTGCTTCTGTGGCTTGTCATAGGCTTGTCTGTTTTCACCTCCACCCGTATTGATATCAGTTGTTTGGGTTGGACTATTCTGACAAGATCCCTGGGAGTAGGGTGGGGTGGGGTGGGGAATGTGGGAGGATTTACATATCTCCTTACTTGACTCATGGCGATCTCTTGTTTACCTCTTGCTTCTGACTCAGAGCCTTTGGAGTTCCTACTTTTCATCTTGACTGCTCCCTTCCTCTGTTCCCTTCAACTCATCAGAAAGTGGCCTGCCAATCAATCAGACATTAAAGAAGGCTCACCATCATGTCCCTTTTGGGCTGCATGCCCATCTCTAAGACAAAATCTGTCTGCCAGTCATGAATTTTCTCACCTCAGAGCTTAGAAGGGTTTTGTTTCCTTCCTCCAGAGTGTCTTAGGAAGGTAGAGGAAAAGGAAGAAGCTGAAGCTTTTGAATGAAAAAGGGGGCAGAGAGACCCAGAAGGCGAAGGAATCTAGAAGGCCCCCTGTCTGTTCTTGGGGATTGAGTGACTCCCTGAAGACAGAGGTGTCTGTCGCCCCAGTGGTGATAGAGTAACTGACCCGAAGGAAGGACTGACTGGCCTGATGACAGATTTCAGTCATGAATTTAGAGCAAGAATACAACAGATATTCATTGGCTTCTGTGTGTCAGCTGTTTTCATACATACCTGGTTTAATCCCTTTAGCTATGTTATTGGGAAGAATTAAGGAAAAGAAACTCTCAGGCTGAAGGCTAAGGCCAGAGTGAAGCCCTCAAGGCAAGGTCAGCCCCACTAACTCCAAAGATCTCATTTACTTCTTCAGACTCCATCCTGTCACCACCACTCTGCATCAGATACTCTCATTCGATTTGTAGACAGCCTGTCTGGTTTGTAGCTGGGCAATGCTATTTTGTTTTTATTAGGAAAGATAATCTCCAGTTTAAGGAAAGGTGTATGAGACAGTTCTGTTGGTACCTGGTCATCACCGTTCCACAGTTGAGCATTACAAAACCATCGTAATTCAAGGCACCACTGACTCAGTAATTCATTTCATTAGCAGTGCTGTCTGAATAAAATACACAATAAACTAGAAATAAGCAAACGCTTGGGAGTGCACTAATGCATTCCAGTGGCACAGGAAGTGCTGTAGGAGAAAGAATGAGAGAGGGGAAAGGAAGTGGTGGGGAAGGGAGGTCAGACAACAACTTGTGGGAATAAGTTCTCTCCTTCCACCACACATTTCAGGAATTGAAATCGGGTCACCTAGCTTGAAGCCGCCTTGCTGGCCCCCAGAGAGATTTTGTGAGCCTGTAGGTAACGCACACTCAGCACCTTTAGAAAGCACCTCTGAGAGCTATTGTAGAGTTAGTGGTGAATCCACCTTGCTTATCTCTTTACCTTCGTGCCCCCTCCTCTCTCACCTTTCAAACCCAGGGTGTAAAAGAAGTGTAGTCTGTCTTGTCTGTTTGCTTGGCTCCTTGCTGGTGGACCCACGCACAGTGTGTCTCCCCTGAACACTGGGTCCGTGACCCTCACTGGGTCTAAGAGTCAGCTAGTTAGCATGCCTATATCCACGGGACTTTTCGTTTCTGAGTCAGTTAAAGAACATGCATGTGTCAGTGAAGCTTGTCATGCGCAAGAATCCATTTCCTTTGTCCTTATGCTGTGTGTTAGTTTGCTTATGTGCCACCTCCGATTTCCTGAGTCCATAAAAGCAAGTATGTGGGACTCGTTCCAACAGAGGCCAGCTCTGACTATTTTCTTTATGGAGAAAACATTAATTTCCTGTGTCACTGGGTGTCTTACCCAAGACAGTTATTAAAAAATAAAGGCTATTTACATACAATGATTAAAACTACTCAGTAGCTTCTTCATTATAAATACCAACCTGAAAATAAAACACCACAAAATTAAATGCCTTCAATATGGATTTCTTTTCAGTTTGACTTTATTGTGTAATTTTTAAAAATGTAGATCCATCAGAGGTGAAAATATCAATTTCCTTTTCCAAGGAGAAATTCAGTAACAGAATGAAAATCAGGCTTCATTTGGATATACACCTTATCAATTACATCTGATTTTTGTTAATAATCTCTTACTTTCATTTTAAATCAATCTTTCTTTTCATTCTCTTTCATAAAAAGCACATATCTGGATGAGAAGCCACCCCAGCTGACAGACAAATGCGCAAATCTACAATATAGTTTGGAGTCTTTATCTAACAAAACAAGACGGTAAGTTCCACTTTTTACATTCAATTTTAAGTAAGTGTTTTGTATTCAAAGTGTTCCAATGCATCTTTGAAATCATTTGAAAAATAAGGCTGTGCTGGTTTCAGGATTGTTGAGTCTGAGAATGTCCCCTTATTGAGAAGGATGGAAGAGGGACAAACAGTGCAGAGCAAGGTCATCCCCTGGCTGTAGAACTCAGCTTATCTGTTCTAGAGCCACGTTTATTATGCACTGTGTATTCTAGCTGAGATGAAAAGCCTGCACACCCTCCTGAGAATGTGATGTGTGGTTGAGGCATTATCCTGGGAAAAATGCTCACTTGAACAAAACTTTGCTTACAACTTCAGGTTAATGGTTTACCTCTGACCTCAGCTGTTGCTCACCCATCAGTCACTGTTTGGAGTTTTCAGTCTCCAATTTTCAATAATCTATGACATCATCATCTAACTGGGGAGAAGGCAAGCCAAGATCTCTGCACTTGATGCATGGAAGAAGCATTGGTAGTCTGAGCTTCTGGTATCAGGGTCACTGCATGGGTCATAGCTGGGAAGACTAGCAGTGCTGGGCTGGGGTTCTGCACATGAAGCTTGGAGCTGGATTGTGCTTATAATTCCCATTAAGGCAGCTTGGTAAATGTCTCAAGTGGTAGGGGCTTGCTGAACACAACAGAGGCCTAGGTTCAATTCCAGTACTGCCATAAAGAAAAAGAAGTGTGTGTAGGGGGAAATCTTCCTGAAAGGAAGTATTCTAAGCTTCATTTTGCTGTGTGCTCGGCTGATAAGGGGGGAAAAGAGTAATAGGCGAGAGATGGAGCTTTCCTCGCAGGGATCTGTTCCAGGAAGATAGACCCAGGATCTGTCTCCATGTTTTCCTTCCATTCCTTATGTTAACACCCCATCTTACTTTTCATTTATAACAATGCCATATGGGAGGAGTTGAGCAGGTGATCCACTTTCTCTTCCCTGAGTGTGTGGGAGGCTGACCTGAGAAGTTAAGGTCTGTGGTCTGGTCCAGCCTGCTTTACAACTGTATCCTGAGGCAAGCCAGTTTAGGACTTTTACTTGATGCACTGAGCTCCCAGCAGGCTGTTTCTTGACTAAGGTAGAGCTGAGTGTTACCAAGGATCCAGGAGGCAGGTCCCTCTTGGGGAATGCTATGCAGGATGTGCACTTTCTTGGGTATAGCAGGGACCTGTTTCACCATGGTGCCTGCTGTGTGAAGACTCCCATGCATCTCACATAGAAACCTCATTGTCTGTTCTAGACTAGGCCCACCAAGGGAAGGCAGGACCAACAAGGCAAACCTTGATGTCCCATGCCTCTCTTTTTTTTTTTTTTTTTTTTCTAAGCCTCCTGACTACCAAGATCCTTGAAATCATTAGTAAGCATAACAATGTTGGTCGGTTCAGTGATGAGTTGATCCAGTTGGACAGCCTAATCCTGTATAAAGGAATGGACTATTAGAGACTTGCCTTCTTTTCTTCAGTTCCAGATGATGAGTGCTAAGCTTGCTGGAGAAATCTCCTGTGCTGTATGGCCTCCATGACACACCCTCTGTTCTGCTCACCCTTCTAACCTGTAATAGCTCCCCAATTTTTTTGGCTATCTTTGTTCAGAAAGGTGGACCTACACAGTCTTCATCAGCAGGCTCTGTTTGTTTATTTGTTGGATTTGAACATGTGGAGACATGCATCGGGGATCAAGAAGAGGGAGGAAAGAAAAAGACTGTTTTCCATGCAATGCCATTCCAAGTTTCCAGATTAACTATAACATATCACTGGCCAAAAGATGTACATGATGACCCATTGTGTATGTGTCTCGCTCTTTCCCTTCTCCATCCTTCCCTCACCATTTCCCTCTCCCTTCCTTTCAGCTCAGTGATATATTGTTAATAGTCCCTGTAATCTGGCCTTACCCTTGATAACAGTCCCTTCTATGAAATTTTACACAGTTTGAGCTCTCTATGTGTCCCGCAGTGACTCGAGCTTACTGTAGATGGTTTGGAACTCCTGTGTCAAGATTTCTCATTTTGTGGCTCATGCATTGTAGATGGCACTTCCCATCTGTTTTGATCCTGTTGGAGCTCTTATGTTTTGTTTTTTAGGCCTGTGGATGTTACCAGGCTTTGGTCTAGCATTTCCAGAGAGACTCTCAATTCTAAACCTTTTGTAGTTCCCTTCACATATCAGACACATGATGCTAAAAAGCAAGAGAAATGGAAGAAGAAAACATTGCTCTTTGCTCCAGTATGCCCTGTAGAAATCTGTGCACTCAGTCCCTCAAATGCATGCCAGCTTATGCCCTTGCCTCTGATTGACTTTCTCACTGATGCTGTTGAGTTTTGCTTCTTAAAGTCCCCAACAGAAGGATGATCGGTCTCTGCACATCCTGGCAAAGTACTGAGTCAGCATGGGGGAAGCTCTATAATGTTCTGACCTGAGGTGGGGGAGCTGATAGCTCTGAGTGTGCTAGGACAGAGCAGTCAACTGCAGCATGCTAATGAGAATGCCCTGGCTCATGCTCTCCTGTGCATTTTCTCCGTCTTGCCCTGTTGTTTGGGGTTTGATAGCGAGACCTTTCCTAGCTGCTCTTCTGGGGCCTGCCTTCCCATTACACACACAGTTTTCAACTAACCCATATAATTAGCCTGCATAGTATTCTGTACAGCAAAGGTCCAGGGAGAGCAGACACAAATGGCCCACTGCTAGGAAAGTGTTATTCTTGCACACAGGAGACTAATTTTTTTTTTAGTTGTATTGTCTATTGTCAGGAATTGTGCATTCTACAACCAGAGGACAATTAGGAAACTTGCAGGGGACAATTGGGAAAGCCATTCAGAGTATGGTGATTAAAATAATAAAAGAAAAGCAATTTCATTTTCTTAGAAATAATTATTTAGCCCTATTTTTGTCATGGTCTGTTAAAGACTTAGAATTTTCTCTTTTATTGGGCAATTTGTCCCTTTCAGGTTGCTAAAATAGGTGTTAGGAGACAGAGTTACAGTGGGAGGGGGAAAAAAGCACTCTTTTTTTTCTACCTAGTGTTGACTACATTTTTGAATAAAAGAACAATTAAGCAGTAAAATTAGGACAATCAGAAGAATGAGTCTTATGCATGGCAATTTCTCTCTCACTCTCTGTCACTTTCTCTCTCTCTCTCTCTCTCTCTCTCTCTCTCTCTCTCTCTCTCTCTCTCTCTCTGTGTGTGTGTGTGTGTGTGTGTGTGTTATGTGTACTTGTTAATTCGGTTGTGTGGACATGTGTATGCACTTGGGCGTTTGCCCATGAAGACCAGAAGTGGATGTTGAATGTCTTGTCAATCACTCACCATTCTCAGTCTGAGACAAGGTCTCTCATCGAACCCAAAGCTCATCAACTTTGCTAGCCAATTTGGCTGGTTATTGTATTTCTTCCTCTCCCTGTCCTGCTTTTTAGATGGACCCTGGGACTAACCATACCTGGGACTAAGCATGTGACACTCATGCTTACTCAGCAGGCACTGTACTTACACTTTTGGTTCCAAGATTCTTTATTCTCTGTTTCAAACCATGAGTTCCAAGGTGAGCAGGGTCTTGTTTTTAGTTCTGTCTCTTGTGCCTGCACATGAATTAGTTGCTTCTTAAACATGTATGGAATAAGCAAGTTAATTAAGTCTGCAAAATACTTACTATACCATATAATCTGTAAATATTAAAAATTAATCACTCAATCCAGAAATTTTAACTCTTTTGATGCCAATTTTCCTGTATGTGACTCTTTCCCTTACTTCAGGCTTGTAGGATTGATTTTCTAACTAATCCTTTGCCCCTGACTATCTCCAGATTTCTCCAGTATAATCCTTTTCACTGGGTTTTCTACCAGGTAGAAATATTAAACTGTATTAAAAATACATCCTTACCATTACTAGTTTGCCCATTTCTCGTTATGGAAAACTTATTATTTATATTTTTTTGCTTATATGCCTAGAAAAATGGTTGTATATATATCCAGACTGTCTGGATATCTTCAGACAAATGAAGGCATTTACCTCAAAGCAGTTGCTTCAAAGATGGCCTAGGTGGAGTCATAATTGTCCCTTTCTTGCTTTTTCTGACTGTTGTTATTAGTCAGATTTTCTTTGTTGTAACCAATACCAAAGACGAGCTTAAGAAGAGAAAGGTATTCTGGGGCCATAGTTTTAGATATTCTTGTACACAATTAGACAGATAGAAAACTTTTAGGCCTCTGGTGAGAGAGAAGTATGTGGTGGCAGAGCAAAGCTGTTTACCACTTGGCTGGAATGCAAAGTCAAAGTGAATCCCACAATTCCCTTCAAAGGCTCACCTCTAGTAACTTTAAACTTCCTACCAGGCTCTACCGTTAAAGGTTCTCTTGTTCTCAAGAGTCATACTGGGACTGAGCCCTTCATGTATGAGTTTTGAGGGATGTTTAACATTCAGACGTTAGCAATTTTTGAATCTTTTCTTCTTTGTGGGTTCAGGACTTCCTCCATAAATAAAAGTTCTGTGTATTTAGTTTCCATTGTTTGGCCAGAATGATGAACTACTCTAGTGAAATCTCTTAGAACTCATTGTCTTAATGCAAAATTCCATTCGACTACTCTCAGTGTTCAATATTTCTTCCTGATGAGGTAGCTCCCTTGGGAGTCTTCCCCTTGAATATTGACTCAGGGATTCTGATAGTCACCTCTAACAGGCAGTGTGCTGAAAAGACAAAGGAAAATCCCATACTCTACACAGCTTACAGGAGACTCCAGTGTCACACATTCTACTGACTGCTTTGAGACAGCAGACTGTGAATGAATCTGATGTGGGGTTGGTGCTTGGGTTGTAGTGTCTGTCTAGGCAGATGCTTGCAGGGAAATAAAAAGACAGGATAGAAGGAGAATACTGTCAGTGGAAGTCAACCAGGCGTTTCTATTCCATATGTTTCCAGTAGCTTTACCATTCCAATCATCCTACTAATTACAGGTTTGTCTTAGGGTTTTGATTGCTGCAATGAAACA